TCGCGGGGCCAGATTGCGTTCTGTATATGTATAGCGATACTTGCTATATAAAGAATACATTCGGCATACAGGAAGCAGGCAGCCTTTACCACTAATTTTGGGTTAACAAAAATTAGTCCTATTTTCTGAAAAAAATGGCCCTTTGTTTAGTACCCTTCATTATCGAATGCCAAAAGATTAAACCTTTAAATACATTCATTCATGTGTACGGAGCTGATTTTGCCTTTTTTGTACAATTTACAAACAAACCATTTAACTCAGAGTCAGCAAGGCGAATGCCAAATTTCACCTTTCATCCACAAAAATGATTGAATTCTTATTCTGCAGTTTATCGGCATAATCGGATGAAATTTATTCTCAGCATGTGACAGGCTGGCATTATTTAACCCATTGGAAGAAGGGCAATGCCCAGGTTAATAGTCCAGTAGCATGGCAGCTGAAAACATATTGGACACGAATTGGCTTTAAAACAATAATAACACCGTAGCACAGTAGTAAACATAGATATAATTCCAAGGAGGGATACAGTATTGGAAGAACATTGCTTAAAGGTACACAAATGTGTATTCCTAACACTTTAGTGTTCCTGTTTGCCTAGGACTGGTGCTTCCCCCAATGTTCAGCATAAAAAAGTTCAAAAAAAAAGATTTTTCCAGCACCAAAGCTCCCTCGGCACTGCTTACCTCTCACCTGCTTGCGGCATCTCAGAGGAGGTATGGCCTCCCCAGAGTTCGACCTATCCAACACTTCTTATAGAGAAGCATTGGGGGAACCGATGTGCATGCCATGTCGCTTGTACATCAACTTTCCCTATAGGAAAGTATTGAGTCATTGCTTTCTTATGGGGGCTGCAGTCATGTGATCACGTTTTACTCAGTTACTGTAGCAGGAAGCGCCACTAATGGCTGTCAGTGTAATAGCCACTGGAGGCATGTAACCCTGCAATGTAAGCTTTGCACTTTCTAAAAAAACTGCTGTGTTTTGCCTAGCAGGCTTAAATATAATCATTAAGGTAAAGTGACCTGGGTGACATTACTGCTCCTTTAAATTTCTGGTCACTATTAATAGTGGGGTGGGGACAAAACAAAGTTATATCATAGATTGGTTTCAAGGACATGCTATTGTCTAAGCCCTATCATATTACTGCTGATGAGCAGTTAATGATGATCACAATCACACCTTTCTGATATTTTTGATCTCACTTTTGCTGTTATTGCTGTGGCGAAAAGGGCCCAAAACCTTACATTAAACAGCGAAGAATGAGCTATCACAACCAGAAGATTTATCAGTGTGACAGATCACCGGAGTATCACCACCGGAGTATCACCACCAGAGGTTCCCTTCCCCTCTGTGTTTCTAGCTCTCCAGAGTAGCTTCAGTGATCATAGCTATAGTAGTATAGCTCCCCCACAGCCCCCCTCCATACATTAGACAAGTCTTAATGCTGGAAGTAGAACTAGTTTATTGAAACACAGAACACATATATATAGGAATAACTACAACAGGGGGTCATCAAACCAAACAATATCAGTTACTACCAGCTTTTTTATTTATTTTTATTTTGTATATTTGCAGTGCATAAAGTGAGTACAAACAGGCTTGAGGTACCCCAACGGCAATCCTCAGGCATGGCATCATGTATTAGATTTGAGGTTATAGATAGGGCATGCATAATTTTATAGTATAATGATACACAACAAGCTTGACGATAGGTCTAGACCCGAGATTGATAGGTTGTGTTAGGTAAAGTAAAACAACAAGCTTAATTAAAGCTCTAGATCGGAGATTGGCAAGTTATTACTCACAGCTTTTTGGTGTCTAGGACATCATTAGATTAAGACTCCATAATTGAATTACCTGTCTGACACCAAAACACCTAATTACCTTTCCTTCAGTTTTACATTTAAACAATAACTCAACAATAACATAGTAAAATAACTTAATAAATAATAACTTAATAATTAAGTTCAACAGACAAAAGGTATTTTAGGGACCAGGCCCACAGTCACAGTGATTATGCTCTTTTGGGGTAAGGTGAAAGGCTACAACGCTGGTACAATTCCAGTGTGACCACGTGGCATGTCACAATCAGCTAATTAAAGGACCACTATAGGCACCCAGACCACTTCAGCTTAATGAAGTGGTCTGGGTGCCAGGTCCAGATAGGATTAACCCTGCCTGCTATGTTTACACTGAGGGTTAATCCAGCCTCTAAAGTCTCTAGTGGCTGTCTCATTGACAGCCGCTAGAGGCGCTTGCGTGCTTCTCACTGTGAAAATCACAGTGAGAAGACGCCAGCGTCCATAGGAAAGCATTATGAATGCTTTCCTATGAGACTGGCTGAATGCGCATGCGGCTCCTGCCGCGCATGCGCATTCAGCCGATGATGTCGCTAGAAAGAAGGAGAGGAGGAGGAAGGCTCCCTGCCTGGCTCTGGAGAAAGGTAAGTGTTTAACCCCTTCCTCTCCCCAGAGCCTGGCGGGAGGGGGACCCTGAGGGTGGGGCACCCTCAGGGCACTATATTGCCAGGAAAACGAGTATGTTTTCCTGGCACTATAGTGGTCCTTTAACTGAACCATTTATTCTCTTATTGAACTCAATATCAAAACTCCTCCTGACATTTAGAAGCAGTTGCCAGACTTACACAAAGTATTCCTTGTTAATTAATGACAGCAAATAAAAGCACATATAAGCCCTTTTACAAAAATGTAACAAAATAATGTAATGT